GCCCCCCTTATTTGTTCATCCAAGCTCCGCGCACTGTGTAGCCTGTCGCAAGTACTTCCATATTAGAGTGGCTCACGAAATAGCTGCCCGTGGGTATGAGTGTGTGCAAGAGAATGAGCAAATTATGAGCTCCCTCCTGGTCGCGGCGCAGATTTGTCAGTTCATGAGTAATAGAGAACCTGCTCGATTGGCTATCAATTTTTGCCTAACTAAAATCATGACAAGCCAAAACTTAGACTTGCATAGGTGTGCATTTGGTTGAGTGCCATAACAACAATAGGAAAAACTTTTTCTCTCTTATAGGATTTATAAGAAGTTTCTAGAGATTTTCCAAAACTTTAACCATAAATATTGGTGTGTCAATTTTTTAGCAATAAACTAATTAATGACTAAATTTTTTGTCTTGACATGATTTTGGTTGGGCAAGAATTGAAAGCCAAGTCAACAGGGAATTCCTACCCAGGCCTTGGTTTAGATGCCATCCAAATTCCAAGTTTTTTCACTCTCTCTCCGTCACATTAATTTTTAGCCGCTTGCATGGAGTATTAAATGTAGGTAAAAAAAAATTAATTATATAGTTTAGTTGGAAATCACGAGATGAATCTTTTGAGCCTAGTTGGTCCACGATTGGATAATATTTGCCAAATAAGACGAAAGTGGTACTATTCATCGGGTTCAAAAAATTTGCAAAGTGAACGAGACCCCAATTTTTTTTTTAAACAACAACAACTGCAGCAGGTAGCTTGGACATGACGTAATTCTGCAAGAGTGACGTTTTTCCTCTCTCCAGAGTTTAACAAGACAGCGCATCCATGCCGTCCATCAGATCAGCAGCCTGTTCGGAAGGCCGTATCGTATCGTGAATTATTTATTGTTGGCTGGTTTAGTGTCCAGCTGAAAATTTACGATCGTTTACGAGCAAGCCAACAGGCTGCAGATCGCGATTCCCTTTCCTCCTCCCGCGCTAGGGTCTAGCATCGGCCCGCAATGGCGTCCACCTCCTCCGCTGCCGCCACCGTCATGCTCGGCGGCAAGGGCGCCACCCTGTCGCCGGCCGCCGTCTACGCGTTGTCCCTCGGCCTCGCCGCCCCGGGCATCGACCCTTCCGCGCAAAAGTCGCTCTCGACCCGCGCGGCCTCGCCGCAGGAGACCCCCGCGCCGCTCGCCGCCGCCATCGCGTCGCTGGCGCCCACCGAGTCCCGCGCCGCCGCGGCGGTGCTGCTGAACAAGCTGGTCCTCACGTCGTCCGACTCCGCCTCCGCGCTCGTCACCGCCGCCACGGCCGCCCGCCTCGCGGGCTCGCTCGACCTCGCCGCCGCGCTGCCGCTGGGCTCCCGCGACGAGGCCGCGGTGGCCGCGGCGTCCGCGCCCGCCGCCGTCGCGCTCGCGGCGCTGATCGACTGCTGCGCCGCGCCGCTGGCCCGCGTCGCCGACGCCGTCGCCGCGCTGTCGTGCGAGGCCGCGCGCGGGGACGCCGCCGCGGCCTTCGACGTGCCGGCCTCCGGCGACGGGCTCTCCGCCAAGGATGAGGCCGACGTCGCCGCCGACATCAAGGTCCTCGTCTTCGGCTCCAAGCTTGTCGGCACTGCCGCCGGGGGCGCCCCCGCCGCCGCCACGTTCGCCAAGGTGCCCGCCCTGAACGGGATCTTCCGCCAGGCGGTGCGGGCGCTGCACGCCTTAGTGCGCATCGAGCTCAACGCGCCCGTGAAATTGGGGAAGAGGGACGCCGGTGAAACCGGTGAGGGAAAGGAGGAGGCACTGGTGGTGCTGGCCACGCAGCTCGCTAGAGCTGTGCAGGCACTGTGCAAGCTGAGCGTCGCCCGGGCAAGGCTCTGTGCGGAGAGCATTGCTGATGCCGAGCTTCGGGAGAAGCTTACTGGTGGCGTTAGCGTGGATGATTTGAAGGGGATGCTTGACAAAGTTTTGATTGATTCAGATGCTGTGTCGGTCTTGAAGGGGGTGTACAACCACTTGCTCAAGTTCAGGGACTATCTTGCCTGGGAAGCAGCTGTGGCCATGGCAGTAATTGGAGCAGACAGTTCAATTGAGAAGCCACAAGCTGCTGCTGAGAATGAAGCAGCCAGTTCAACTGAGAAGCCACAGGCTGGTGGGGACAGAGCAAAGGGTGACAAGAAGAGCAAGAAGAAGAAAACTTTGGGGAAGGGTACTTCTGCTGTGCTGATGCTGCTTAGGGACCATGTGACAAATGGAAGTACTGTTGCTTCTGTAAATTCTGTGTTGGTTGCAGAGTGGGCAACCTCTCTCTCATCGCTATTTGATCCCAAATGTCCCGGATTGGAGTCCCTTGTGGAGAAGGTGAAGGAGATTGTTGAGAGCAATGAAGTCAGGAGATTGCCTAAAATTCCAAAGGTGAGAATCATACTATTCGCAGATAGTGCTGTTTTATTTGTATGGTCTGATTAGTAGTATTCAGATTGTAATGTTGTTCCCTTTCCTCATTTTTCTAAATGTTTATGCTTACTCCTGTTAGGGTACACGTGACTTTGGGAAAGAGCAAATGGCGATAAGGGAGCGAGCATTTTCAATTATAACTAGTGTATTCAAGATGCATGGTGCTACTGCACTTGATACACCAGTATTTGAGCTGAGAGAAACCCTTATGGGCAAGTATGGTGAAGACTCAAAGTTGATATATGACCTGGCTGATCAGGTATTGTTTCAGTGTCCTCTCACATTTTAGCTTGGTGAACAGGTGTTACTTGGCAGAAAATTCATATTCGTGCTTTGATTTGTCATGCACTTGTTTTTTATTCTATAGATTATGCAGAAGGCTAATGATATCATTGCCAGTATCTGGGGCACTCAGCCTATTCATTTGTTGCAGTGTTTTCCTTAGATGGTGCCCTCATAATTATGGTTTGATGTCTTACTGTTAAAATAACATGCAGGGTGGTGAGCTTTGCTCTTTGCGGTATGATCTGACTGTTCCATTTGCCCGGTATGTTGCCATGAATAGCATAAGTGCACTGAAGAGATACCAGATAGCGAAAGTATATAGGAGAGATAATCCATCTAAGGGAAGGTACCGAGAATTCTACCAATGTGACTTCGACATTGCTGGTGTATATGAACCTATGGAACCGGATTTTGAGGTCATCAAAGTTTTGACTGAATTGTTGAATCAGCTGGATATAGGCACATATGAGATAAAATTAAATCACAGAAAGTTGCTTGATGGAATGTTGGAGATTTGTGGTGTGCCTCCTCAAAAGTTCAGAACAGTTTGCTCGAGTATTGACAAGCTGGACAAACAAACATTCGAACAGGTGAAGAAGGAACTGGTAAGCATCTGAATTAATTGGTTTTGGCTGAGGGTTAATTATATTTTTGTTTTATCATGCCGCCTTAATGAGTTGTAGATATGTTGACCATAGTCCTAACTGTTTTTCGTGTTCAAATTAGGTGGATGAGAAAGGTATATCAAATGAAACTGCAGACGAAATTGGCAATTTAGTGAAGACTAGAGGACCCCCGTTGGAAGTTTTGACAGAGTTGAGAAAGGAGGGCAGCAAGTTTATGAATAATGAAGGGTCTGTTGCTGCACTGAATGAACTAGAGATATTATTCAAGGCTCTGGATAAAGCAAATGCAATAGACAAGATAGTTTTTGATTTAAGTTTGGCCAGGGGCCTTGATTACTACACCGGTGTCATATATGAAGCCGTTTTCAAGGGTGCGGCTCAGGTTAGAAATAATTACTTATCACTGCACATTGATGTTCAAGTTAATTCTTCAGTACTCTGGATTTTCTTAAAGCATAGTGTTATTATTCATCAACTCCATACATAGCTTTTTTTTTAAAAAAACTATCTATTGGCAATTGATGTATTCAACATTTGATGTCTTTTTACTATTTGTCATCGCATACGCAGTTACGCACACCCTTTTTCTAACTTTCACAGAGCTGAAGACCATTTTAGTTGATTCCTGTACTAATCATATTTGGCAACAGGTTGGCTCCATCGCGGCTGGTGGTCGGTATGACAACCTCGTGGGTATGTTTAGCGGAAAGCAAATCCCTGCTGTTGGTGTGAGCCTTGGAATTGAAAGAGTCTTTGCAATCATGGAGCAACAGGAGAAAGAAAGAAATGAGGTAGTTGAGCGCTCTATCATTTTATCCTTCTTTCAAGTGGACATGTAGCAACTTAATAAAATTGTCTTCAATTGTAGAAGATCCGGCCTACAGAGACAGAGGTGCTGGTGTCAATTCTGGGAAAGGACCTTACACTAGCTGCCGAGCTCGTGAGCGAGCTGTGGAGTGCTGGGATAAAGGCAGAGTTCAAGCTCACTACCAGGGTGGCGAACCACATCAAGTATGCCTTGCAATCAGGCATTCCGTGGATGGTGCTGGTCGGTGAGTCTGAGCTGCAGAAAGGAACTGTGAAGTTGAAGGATGTTGAAGCCAACCAGGAATACGAGGTTGACAGGAAGGATTTTGTGCAAGAGCTGAAGAGGAGATTGAGTTAAACCCTAAAAGGGAAATTTCTTGTTCTGATATCATCTTTTGACACCCATTTGAGGCAAAATCAATTAGGGGAAGCGAATGACATTGCAGCATTATAGTTTAGACTGCAGTCGGGTTGGCAGAGAGCCACTTGTTACAGTCGAATCCCTGAATCCCAATGCATTATGTTGATGAATCAGGCCGTGACATATTGTGAATTATATTTTTTTGGTGCTTGATTGAAATCAAAAGTTTTTTTAGGCGTTGATATCATCTTTTGACGTCCATTTGAGGCAAAAATCAATTAGGGGGAGAATGACATTGCAGCATAGTTTATAAACTGGGAATGTTTCAGTCGGGTTGGCAGAGAACCACTTGTTACGGTCATTGGAATCCCTTGTTATATGCTGATGAATCAGGCCGCAACATATTGTGAATTATATTCTTTTTGTGGCTACTGTTCTTATCCATGGCTAAGTTGAAACAACCAAAATAGGGAACAGTAAGAAAATGTTACACCAACACAGTTTATGAGTCACTTGGCATCGTCCTTGCATATTCCCGGCTTTGCGGCATCCACCGTGTTCTTGAGCAGCATCGCCACCATCATGGGGCCAGCGCCTCCTGGAACTGGAGTCAGGAAACCGGCGACCTTGCTCACCTCTGCGAAATCTACATCGCCGACAGGTTCGGCAGGGTCATCGTCAACAGAGTCGGTGTCAGCATCATGGATGACGACAGCACCTCCGTTGATCTGAGAACAGCCAAGAAAAGAGCACACAGAGCAAGTGACTCACTATTTCAGTAAGCACTGGGAGATGGATTGCACCGAAACTATGACAATATACATACCATCACATCCTGCTCAGCTGCTGCAGTCACTATGTGCCCAACATCGATGACCGCGGCACCTGGCTTGATCCAATCCCCTTTGATCTGATGACAAACCAAGAACATGCAACCGTGAGCAATGCTGGGTCCTCTGTCTGCAGTTGAGTCACTGGCAGGTGGGTCTGATTTCCGCAGTTGAGCCACTTGCAGCTTGCTCTGATTGTGGTCTGATTGGGCAATCAGACCCAGCTGCCAGTGAACTGCAGAATGTTGTGTGCATCAAACTGTGGACAGGTTCGACAGGTTCGAGACATACCATCATAGGCTGCCCAGCGGCTGCAATGACTATGTCAGCTTGGCGTACAATGCTTCTTGGGTCAGGGGTCCGTGAGTGCACAATGGATACAGTCGCGTCGGCCTTGAGAAGGAGCAGAGACACAGGCAGGCCGACGATGTTGCTGCGGCCAACCACAGCTGCGAGTTTGCCTCTGACAGTGACCCCGCCCCGTGACAGGAGCTCCATGCATGCCTTCAAATCAAAGGGGAAAAAATCGATTCTAATCGCAAGTGGAATCAGAAAAAAATGGCATACTTTATGGTTATTTGATTTACCATAATATTAGATAATTTAGAAGTTAATTTGATCAGACATTTTAGTTTATATTTTAATAATGCTAGAGAATTGGTAATTTAGACGTGGATTTACAAGGTTGCTTAGATCATATTTTGTAATAGCAGAGGTGAATAATTTACATTATGTTTTAGAATGGTTGAGATGCTAGATGCAAATTTAGGGAGCTTACTTTGTAGCGAGAAGGCTATTTTTGGTCATCCGACTATATTTCGAGTTTGTTTTCATCCTTGAAACTTCAAAACCAGAAACATTTGGCTATCGAATTATCAAAACTAGACAAATTTGGCCATCGAACTAGTTCAAAGGTGGGTTTTTCGTTTTCTGGAAATAAAAAATATTTGGTTTCCTCTCTAATATTCATAAGTGACTCGTTTAAATCAAAACAAATATGGAAATGACATTTTTTTTCTAAAAAAAACTATTATCTACATGTTCATCTTTACTTGGAATTATTTGTCTTATTTGTTCGTGTTCCTAGTATTTTATTGCTTGTAATTGTGCTTTTTATTTAATTTAATTATCTTTTCTGCGTTATATTAGACCGTAAGATCATCTAAGAGAATCCTATGGATGGCTGAGTGCATATAAAATCTAGAAGATGACACCAACCTCCCTGATGACATGCTCCATTCATAAAGATCCCATTTAAGAATTTTCATGGTTAGAGACTAATTTTATGTTCATCATATGATTAGGTAATAGGTTTCATAACAACAAGGGGCTCAAACATCTTTCGATCAACTAATGATGCAAACAACATAAAGGAAATGATGAAATGACGATTTAAATAAATAATAGGCACAACTGCGAGCAACAAAACACTAGAAATAGAAACAAGTAAGATTATGCAAATAGAGCACTGACAATAAATTATATCTTAAGAAAAAAATCTGGTACTAGTTTTATAATTTAAAGTGAATTTCACTTGTGAAATTTTAGAGATCAAACCAGATTTTATTGTCGTTATTTAGGAAATGGAAATACCTTTGAAACTAGCTAGATGCCAGATTTGTCCTTTTTTGCTACTTTGTTGGCCCAAGATTCCTAGTTTTGGAGTTTTATGAGGAAAATAAACTCAATCAATAATTTGATGACCAAAGTAGGACTTACCCCTACTTTATATTATCTTTTATAATGACATACAATTTACATGCGAATTTAGGGGCTAATTTATCTTTCATAGTGACACCGGTGAGTAATTTAGATGTAGATATAGGGTGTTGCTTTATATTATTTTTCATAATGGCAAATATGCGCATTTTTATAGAAAACAAATGGATTGAATCATTGTTTTTGTCAATCATATTTGAGACTACCTTGATAGCTGTTGATGTTTTTGATTTCTATGAAAATTGCTAAGAATTGTTTCTAGCATGTTTCTTGTGGATTTACGTGGACGACTCTGTTTGGGGCCTTCATTAATAATAATAGCAATATACCTTTGCTATACATGGTATGAATAGCGGTTCTCTGCCTTTCATTGCAAGCTTGCCAATATTGAGAGGATGAAACCCTTCAACATCTTTCTCAACACGGATCTCATTTAGTATCTTCTGATCATTGATATGCTTAGGCAATGGAAGTTGGACAAAGATGCCTGGAATGATAGCACATAGTTGCAAAGTCAATAAGTTTCCTTCATAATTTGGAACAAGGATTTGATTCTTTTGCATTCAAACAATAAGTATTAAATATAGGTAGAATAGACACGAATCAGTCAAACGAAACGAGATGCATGTGGCTTGTACTAACATCACTGCAAACTAATGATGTAGGCTTTCAAGGAACTGAAGGGGAACTTAACTTGTTGGCTTTCTAGGAACCCAAGAGGAGCTAGACACAACTTCATTTAAAAAAAAACTACTCCACATTGGATAATACACGTCTATTGATGGTTATGGAAAAACAAGCTAATGAACTAGCTCAATTTCAAAATATAAAATGAATTTAAACATCCATTGAGTCTACGACCACATCCTTTTGTAATTGGGGGCTCCACCAAATCACTTAGTATCCTCATTGATTGCTCATCTGTTTGTCAACTTGATAAATCTCATTAGTTCTCTAATTATGTGGTTATTATCACCAAAACTCACATCCAAAGTAGTTCCAAAACTTACACACCGAGCTAATCCACTAAACCATCGGACACCACGCACCCATTTATTACTCGCCTATGTCCTATTTTGAAAGTGCATCTAGCCTCTAAGTGGATTTTGGTGGATTGAATGACAACACAATTAAGGGACTAATGTGTTACATGAGACTTGCAGGTATTCACAGGTATTTAGTCCTAAGTGTGTTGTATTATATTTGGGCTCAAATATAGCACATGGCATACAAATCAGAAATGAGCCCGAGGCATATTATCAAAATAATTTGACAAGCTTATATGCATCAATTATAAATGAGACATAGAGGTTTGCATATGGAATGGTTTCACTCTTGAAGCTTGATCAATCAAAATCAAAATGATGAAGACATCAATACAAATGAAATAGATATATTATGAGCTTAATTGTTGATTCAAAGCAAGATGTGACTTGATGACTTGAGAAGGTGAAGATAGCAAAGAAATGCTTCGAGGTACTAAGCAAAGATGAAGGGCAAGCGACTGCTTAGCGGCTAAAGAACCTAGCTAAGGTGAAGAAGAAAGTACTTGCATTTAGTCGAGGTACTAATCAAGCTTTGGAGGTCATGTTGATGTGAAGGATCAAATAATTGAAAAGAGTGACTTTGATTGATATATGGAATCTTGATCAAATGGTTTGATTAATTAAGAGTCACACCTCAAGGAAACTTAACTCGATACATGGATGGTGTTGGAAGCCCTCAAATGATCAAAATTATGGAAGCAACATTTATTCGAAGGATGACAAACTCAAGTGGGATTAATTATCAATTTCTATTTCTTGACTTTAGACATGCCGTCCTATCAAGAGGGATGCAACACAATATATTATAAACCTAGTAGTGCTCAAAACAAACCCAAGGTGAAAAACCTGAATTTTGGAGAGAGAGAGAGAGAGAGAGAGAGAGAGAGAGAGAGAGAGAGTTTTGGAGGTGTGCAGTGCTGTAGAACCGGCCAGGCCGGTTCCTAAACCGTCCAGGCCAGTTTGGCTGTCCTCCAACGGCTAGTTGGTCTGTAGAACTAGCCAGGCCGGTTCCCACATTGGCTAGGCCGGTTTTGACTGACCAGACAACCCAACGGCTAGATTTTGGGAGTTTGATATTTAAACTCTCTTCCACTGCCTTGGGCTAGATGCTGAAGCTTTTCCACATCCATAACAACTAGCAAAGCCTACAGAGATCTCCCAATTCACCTTTTGTGGGATTCGAGTGCATTTAGACACATCCATTGAATTGGAGAGCAAATTGAGACTTGTGAGATTGTGTGTGTGGGCAAAATCTGAGTTGAGCAACCCTTGAGCACTTTTGGTGATAGCTAGTTCATGTGAGGCATTTGTCACTCTTGGAGCTTTGCTCCTAGGCAGCCTTAGTAGTCACCGGTGAGTCACCAAGTGTGGTGCATGGCTGGAAGTTTGTAAGGGCTAGTCTTCCCACTGAAAAGGAAACAAGACTCCTTAGTGGAAAGGTGGAAAGAGGTCGTTTTGGACCCGGCCACGAGTTGACCTTTGTTGGGTCCTCACCAGCTTCCACAATGGAGATGTACGACTCACTTTGGTGAGGCCCGAACTTGGGTCAAACAAATCGCTGCGTCTCCTTTGTTTGGTTTGGCTCACTCTCATTTTTCATTATATTTATCTCATATCTTGTGAGCCACCATTTGTGTCTACTCGGTTGTTGTGTTTTTGGTTGCAGAAACATATTGTGCAAGGCAAACTTGTACCAAACATATCCCTCAACACTTGGTTTTACTTGAGGGGAAGAAAAGGAGGCAAAAATCAGCATCTAACATATTTGCTGTAGGGTCCCCAAGGAAACCGGCCAGCCCGATTCTACACAGGGAGCAGGCAAACTGGCTAGGCCGGTTCTAGCACAGCAAGCAGCCAAACCGGCTAGATCGGTTCTGCAGTGCCCAGTTACAATTGCTTTGTATTTTTGCATGTCGAATTTTTATAAATAGCCTATTCACCCCACTCTAGGCATCATTTAGATTCTTTCATATTTTGATCTATTAATTTTTAACACTTGTGATACCATGTTTGGATCCATATGACTAACAAGTAGCTGAATAATTTTTAGACTCCAAGGATCCAAACAAGTAGCCTAATAGCTAGGCTATTTTTTGTTATTCAAGCCTCCAACTAGTTGTCAGTGCATTAGTTGTCCAAACCCAACTAATTGGGACTAATAGGAGCAACCATTCCCGGAAAAGTCTAAAACGTCCCTCCCTCGTGTGCTAGGGACCAAGGGGCATAAACGTCTTTTATGTGGGAATAGTACTATCTATTAGTCCCTTGGATCCAAACAACGTAGACTAAACTTTAGTTAGCTAATTAGTATGGGGTGTTTGGGACTGCTCCGCTCCATGTTTTTTTAACTTATTTTCATGTTTTTTAGCCAAACGTTTTCAGCTCCATGCACTCTGTTAGAAGAAAAATAGTGGAGTTGTGAGAGCACCTAAAGAGGTACTCTACAAACTTCTGTTTTTTGTGGAGCTGCTGCACCGCAGAGTTTGTAGAGCAGTCTCAAACACCTAGTCAGCTAACAATTAGCTCTAGCTAATAACCAACTGATAATTAGGGGTTATTTGGATCAGCCAGGACTAGTATAGGGACTAAAAATTAACCTACCTATTATAGCTTCGCAAAAAAAACCTACTTATTATTATAGGACTAATTTTGGTTAAATTTAGCTGACTAACAGTCCAAACAAGTCCTTCTCCATCAAACAGGATCTTAACCTTCACATTCCTAATTTCTACTGGTCACTAGCACACATTCTGGCATTATATTAGCATGTTTGGGTCTACTGTCGTTAATAATTACTCCATCCATCCTTAAACATCTGTCTTTCTCGTTTTTCGAGAAATAATTTTGATTATTTTTATATAAAAAAATATTAATATTTATAGTTGTAACACGGAAACCCAAAACGATAAATAATAAGGGACAGAGTGGCAGCTAGCCAGCTGGGTTCAAACGTGGCCCCTACTCTATTGTGATCCAACTTCTCACCCATTCGGCCAATCCCATTCGACAATGACACGATGGACCAAATCCACTGGACTGACCTGGAGGTCGAGGTGCAAGGATACTACGTGCCGGTTTAGTTCCTAAAATTTTGCAAAATTTTTTTAAAATTTTCTGTCACATCAAATCTTTGGACGTATATATGAAGCATTAAATATAAATAAAAAATAAAACTAATTACCCAGTTTAGACGAAATTTACGAGATGAATCTTTTAAGCCTAATTAGACTATGATTGGATACTAATTGCTAAATAACAATAAAGTGCTACAGTATCATTTCTCAAAAAATTTCGCCAACTAAACAAGGCCCAGATGTCGAAACAAAAGAAATCACGCTGCAGCCCCTAGCATCATGAACAGTACTGCACTACACCTCGAGTGAAGTGATCATAGTGTTTAGTTGTCCCTCCTAAATTTTGGTCGTGCATAGAGTATTAAATATAGACTAAGTATGAAACTAATTATATAGTTTACGACTAATTTGCGAGACGAATCTTTTAAGCCTAATTAATCCATGGTTTAACAATGTTTTGCTACAGTAACATGTGCTAATGACAGATTAATTAGACTTATAAATTCGTCTCGTGGAGTACTGATAGATTATGTAATTTGTTTTTTTATTAGCATCCGAACACCCCATACAACATTCTCCCAACACACTTTCTAAATTTTAGTAACTGGATCCAAACACCCTAAACATCTCCATCATTCATTCGTCTCTTCTCTTTCGAGACACGGAACTCTATCCATGTCCATCAACTGTAGATTCGTAGGCAAGACCCATAAGCAAAAATGACCGCTCTCTCCGTATCTAAATAACTATCGTTTTTAGTTTCTGTGTTGTAAGTTTAACTGGATTTATAAAAAATACGTACAACATTTGTATTTTTAAATAAATTTATTATAAAAATAGATTCAACGATCTATCTAATAATATTAATTTTGTACCATAAATATTAATATTTTTTATATACTTAGTCAAAGTTGTTTTTTCAGAAGTGAAAACGACAATTATTTAGGACGGCGGGAGTACGTCTGCAGCTCAATGGATCTGAATAGAACGTCGTCCGTCCGTAATAATCCAGGCACACAGAAGAACTCGTGTCGCGAACCATCGATGAGCCCCCTAGTTTTATTATTTTTCAAAAATTGGTGAACGATGTAATTTTACTTGATAATCAATAAATTGCGCCGCATGGTTTTCTAAAAAATAGAAAAGAAGAACTCGTGTCGGTTTCTCGAACCCATCGATCCGGGAACTTGGTGACGACTATCATCAGGCCGTTAATTAAGCTTACAATGGGAGCATCCGAACATGTGTTCTTCTGCATGCTACCCAGACAGTGCCACTGCCAGCAACAGAGGAGAAGAAGAGAAATCAAGCAAGGAGGAGAGGCGGCATGCGCATACCGTGGACGGCGGGGTCGGCGTTGAGGCGGTGGACCTCGGCGACGAGCGCGGCCTCGGAGGTGTCCTCGGGGAGGTCGACGAGGAGCGAGCGGATGCCGACGTCGGCGCAGGCGTTGCACTTCATGTCGGCGTAGGTCCGCGAGTTCTTCCAGCTCCCCACGGTCACCACCGCCAGCCCCGGCACCTGCGAGTGACGGAGTGAGCGACACGAGCAGAGCACCGGCCATCTCCGCGTCGTCACTCCCCGATGCAAGGTCAAGAAGACAGAACGCACCGACGGCAGGAGGGAAGAGGAGGCTTACGATGCTGTTGGCAGAGGACAGCGCGGCGACCTCGGCCGTGACCTCGCGGCGGATGTCGGCGGCGATGGCCTCGCCGTCGATGACCTGCGCCATCGTGGTCTCGGCGGCAAGTGAGCGAGAGTGACGACGACGATCGACGATAGATGCCTCGAGAAGGGAGACCTTGGCAATCACACCTGACATACCTGACTGAGTTTAGAGAGGCGAGAGCCACGTTACCACCACCTTCAATTCTTGTCAGTTGATCCTAGAGATAACTTTAAAAAATGATACACGTTTTAGTTTTTTGTTTGAAAAAATATATCAGCGGTCTATCGTAAGAGATTGTTTTTTTTTGACAACAAGATATATCGTAAGAGATTGTTGAGTGGGAAGAAAAACAAAAAAAGTATACTTAAGAAAAAAATACTGTAAAACAGCAAACAGGGCGCACCCGTTATATTATTTATTATTTATGAGAAAGAAATAAAGAAACAACCGCAAGACTGAAGGGATGAAGACCTCGTGCACCTCATGGGCAGCAGGTTAGTTGAGCGGTCTTCAAAATTAATTCGGACCTGCGGGCGCTTAGACGTCCGTCTGGAGCGTTAGCGTCCGGACGTTGCCGTGTAGAGGGAGTAAGCCGTGTAGAGGGAGTAAACGAGCTTATAGCGCACTGGGCTTGCGAAGGAGCGCACCAGCAGTGGGCTAACGCCGTGTAATATCCCCGGTGTTACCGCTTAAACAACTTGCTAAACTATGTCATGAGCATCATGTGTATTAAACAACTTGCTAAACTATGTCATGAGCATCATGTGTATGTGTCAATGCATGTGATAAAATATGTAGATCAATTTCCATAACTTAAAATGATCAACAAAAGTGCTAAACAAAAGTTAATTCAATAGTCATGTTATATCACTTAGGGTTTAAAATCAATTTTATTAAGCAAAAATACTATAGAACATGTATGTGACATTTAAATAAAGTTGAAAGTACAAATTTGGTAGATGACAATGCAACTTTAATTTTTGAAAAATAGATATTGTTAACTAATATTTTGGGAGCTCTAAAATCAAACTTGACGTTAAGATAAGCTCTTTTCGGCAAGCACTTGAACTATTGTTAAAATACCATTTTTGACGAATTATATGGAGCAAAATAGTTAAATAGTGCTCAAATATTTTGCTCCTATGGGTTAGTATAAGGTATGGACTATTGTATGAAGTATTTGTGGTTGAAATTAACAAGGTTTAGATCTATTAAAAATTGTGACAAAAGAGTTAATGGTTACTTAGCCTCAGTTGAAATCCTTAACGTTGTTAAGTATGGAAAAGTAGTAAGACAATGCTATTTTGACATTTAATTTCTAACAAAAATATTTAAACATTAGTTGCACGTTTTGGTATTGTTGATTGCATCAAAGTGAGTGCTTGAGCATGGCATAGGTCGACTTGTGTTGCATGTCACGTTGTCCGCTCTAAAATAGCCCTAACTTCACTAGAACGCGCTGCGAACCCTGATTCGGTGCTCGGTTCACGAACCGGCGTTCAGCGTGACGAACCCATGTTGGCACCTCCTTATCTCTCTCTCTGGTCTCTCTGGACGTGAGGTTTGCTTCGTTAGCTAGGTGTTAATATCGACTTTGGGTTCATGGAGTTGGTAAGTAGTTTTTGGCCAGCTTTAAAATGCGTGCGTGTCACCATTTCGTACGTTTGGCCTCGTGGGCACGGTCGCCTCGCGCACGTGCGCAGCTGGCGCCGGGCTCGGCCCTAGGCTGATCATGGCCCTTCCCTGCAGGCCAGTGCCACCTGTCAGGACGACACCGCGACGCGCCTCTCACCTCACCTGCCCTCTTGCTGGCCAAGCCGCGCCGAGCCGCTATGCCACACGCAGCGCCGAGGCGAGGCTGCGACTGTCGTCGCTCGGTCATTGTGGCGTTTTCTCCGCCCTTCGATTCACTTCGACCGCTGCAGCGCGCGCCCTCCGCCTCTCAACCCACCTACCACGCCCTCATCTCGACGCCATTGCGTGGCCGCACGGAGGTGCAAACCGACGCGCCGCTCGCTCGTGTGGTCATATCTACGCTGCCGCCGTCCGTGCCCTGCCCAGACCAAGCCATACCATCCTAACACCCCACAGCACACTCCATCTGTGCCGCACCGTGCGAACGCTCGCGCTCATTAAACGTGGCCTCGACTGAGGTTGGCCGGGCCTGGAAGCCGCTGCCCCTTTGCCTTGCCGCCGAAGAAGTCGTGCCGCTTCGCAAGCTTTAAACGTGTAGTCCATGATATCCCATCTCGATTCAGTGCCCCAGCGGCTAGGATTGGAAGCAAGCTAGCAAACTGACCCGCACCAAAGCGCAAACGAGCCTTGTAGTCGGCCAATTTGGCATTTTGCTCGCCGTGGGCCGTGGGCGCCGCCGAATCAGTAGGTTGAGAGGTAAGGCATGTAGGAGTGGTAGCAGTTCGATTGCTCTTAACCCTGCACTCGCCTTAACTCCCTCTATCCGGTGCTCGTACTATTTTGGCTAGGAAACTCGTCGGCGACGTGGTGATGTGCCGGTGTCCATCGCAGAGCGCCGCCACCCCGTTCTATCGCACGTGGCCAGACCGCCACAACGCTTCCCAGCTTCAACCGTCAGTAGGATGTACACCACGGTGAGCTATGGATGCTTCTCCACCATTTCTACCTAGCTGTGAGGGCGTAGGCTCGTCGAAACAGTCACGTCACCGCCACGGATAGACGCTCGCCGCTGCAGCTCGCGATAGTGTGCCTCCGAGTCCCTAACTACCACCCATCCTTGCGTGTTTAGCTGTAGATGGTTGTCGGCTCCTTACTTCCGTCGTAGCGAGCCTAGTTGGCCCGGCGTAACCGCCGTTGCCGCCGGTGTGCTGAGCCGCCGCGTGTGGGCACGCCGAGGACCGCCCCAATGCAAAGGCAACATATTTTAGGGTCTTTATTGCAAAGCGTGAGTCTATAGTAATAGTGTTCCGTTGCTCCACGTGATTATCCGAAAACCCGAGCCCTTTTCTGCAAAATGGCCTAGGCACGCGGGCGCCTCGGCTTTGGGCCGTACTGGGCCACCGCGCCGCACTGGGCTGCCGGGCCTAAAGGGTCGCTACCGGCCCTTTCCTTTTTCTAATGTATTTTCTAATTTAGTTTCTAAGGTGAACTTGTAAATTCAAGATAAATTTGTGTAGATGTCCAAAAATTATGAAACCAATTTTGTTAGGTTCCTAAAATTATGATCTATCTGTTAGTATATTTTATTCATATAGTTTTATAATATTTTCTGGGGTTATCTAATCAATTTGAAATGCTTAATATTGTAAGATATAAACTTGTAGGAATTATTGTGATAAATTAGTGATAGTGTGGGCTCTGAAACTTTCACGGTAAATTCCTCACATTATTAGGTGCTCATTGTAATTTTGTAGCTCCATAGGAATTAGTTTGTTAAGGTAACTAAATGAACCATAGTACGAAAATATATATTTAATCAATCAAATGTCAAAAATAATTGGGGGTTTGTAGAACGAAAACATTTTCTAGAAATGAGCCTTACTTGGCGACGTGGATACGTAGACTAGTATGTTAGTCATTAAGCTAGCTCGTTAGCTCGTGGAGCGTAATCGTATTACAGAGTTGCAGTTACCATTGATTAATTGTGTCTCTGTGTTGTATCCACGTATATCATAATAGAAACATCGATGGATCGTGGAGATGACCGAAGTAGCGAAAAAGATGGTGCCTTGATGATCGTGTCACCATGATGGAATGCTAACTTTTGGTTATATCTTACCCAGGCAAGTCCCGGTGCATAACCCCTATTATTCTGCACTTTATCTTATGCTTGTGCATTAAGTTTTAAGGAGTTGAATGAAAATCACTTGCATATATATATATATCCTTATCCTACGAGTCCTACTAGTATGTCAGGATCGTGTAGATTGCTATGCTATAGGATCCGGTAGAAGTCGAGTTATTACCTGTCACTCGCGAGAGATAGGAAAGATATTATTGTTATTATTATATTACTATCATATGGAATATATATGAATGATAATTGGAGACCGGATGGAATGGTACTTTGGATTTGGACTTGGTTAGGCATTCGAGCGAGGCTTGGATTGCATTTGTTCCGCTTGTGTCGATTGAGGACCGTCCGTTGCATTAGATTCTAGTCAGGTCACAGACTTATTATCCTGAGCACATACATGCTTATGAGGGCAGGAAGGCTCATTGCTCTCTTGTCGTGGGTTCTGACTCTTTCTGGACCGACTGATAGGAGGTGGGGATGGTGGAGGTCTAAGCACCACACTGAGTCCGGGACTCAGGTGTGGGGGCTTAGAGTCCAAGTTTGGATGGGGACCTAGACCCCTTGACAGGAGAGTAGTGGTTGGTCCTGCTTGTGCCTAGGGTACAAGCAGGGCGTGTGTTTCGGGGTACCCAGCTGGGATACATTGGTTCACGAATCATCATGTAATATGGTACGACTTGGCTATGATCTAGCACCATAGTAAGAACTAGAATATGAAAGATGATAAAATGGTTTTGATTGCTTACCACCTGCTTGAAAGTAGCACAGGTGCTTACATAGAATGGTTAGTTAATGAACAAATGATGAGTGCTAATGAAATTGAATATAAGGATGCACACTTAGTAATGCTTCCTGCAGATGCAATAAAACCATAAGCCAGATAGTATTGCTTATCCTTGGAGTCTTTTCTTTCCTCTTGACGAGTAAGTCTTGCGGAGTACAATTGAGTACTCAGGGTTTGTTCTACCCTGTTGCAGGTGACAGGAACATGTGGAGCTGACACTTTTGTGTGGAAACCTCCTGGTGGGCTCAGCGAGGATTTCCTTAACTTTGCGGACATAGAGTTTATTTAAAAATTCCACCCAAAATCATTTACAATGGGAAAACTTATAACCTGTTATGATGTATATAATGGATCATCATGTTAATGTTTAACTTGTCATTAAATGATTTTGTTTCCGCTGAAACTCTGATAACATGGTTGTATTCCGCTGTTATAAACAATAAATATTATACTCTGATGTTGCATGGAAAGTGATGTAAGAAATGACTTAAGAATGTTGTAAGCTTT